AAGGCAAAGGTAAAAATAAAAACAAAAACAAAGATGCGTAAAGATAAAGGCAATAATGAAGGCCAAGGTAAATTTAAACACTTTACTTACATATATAAGGGCAAAGGTGAAGGGGAATATGTAAATGAAGAAAATGATAAACATAAACCTGAAGACAATGAGGAGGATGAGGATACCGATAAAAGTAAAGATGAAGATAGGGGAATAAAGATTAAAATAAAGGCAATTAAAGAGGAAAGGATATAAAGAGAGACGCAGAGACGCAATCTGGGAACTATTTTGGGATTTTAGAGATTTTCGGGATTCTCGGGACTTATCGATAATATAATCGATATTTTTATCGATTTTTTCATCGAAATTTTTATCGATATTGTTATCAATTTGGCTATCGATATTTTCGGAACTTATCGATATTTTTATCCATTTTGTTATCGATATTTTTATCTATTTGTTATCGATTTTGTAATCGATATTTTTAACTATTTGGTTAGCAATATTTTTTTTATAGATTTTGTTATCGATATTTTTATAGATTTTGTTATCGATTTACTTATCGGTATTTATCGATTTTGTTATCGATATTTATCGATTTTGTAATCGATATTTATCGATTTTGTTATCGATATCTATCGATTTTGCTATCGATATTTTTATCGATTTTATTACCGATATTTTTATCGATTTTGTTATGGATATTTTTATAGATATTTTTATCGAGTTTGTAATAGATTTTGCTCCAATATTATTATCGATTTTGCTATCGAAATTTTTATCGAACTTTTCATGGATTTTGTTATCGATATTTTTATCGGTTTTGTTATCGATATTTTATGGGATGTTACTGTCGATTTTGTTGTCGATATAGTATAAAGATAAAAATGAAGATAAAGGAAAACAGAATAACATGAATGTAATTAGAATGAACAGGGGTAGAGGCAGGGATCTAGATAGAAACAAGTAAGAGCAGCGCTGTCTTCGGCTATGCCGAAGACTTCATACCTTTCATGAACATCTGCAAATTTTACTTTGACAGATTACTGCTTTTGAATACATCTGCATACATCGATAGAGGAGTTCCATACTTATATAAAAAANTGCAAAAGCAGATGTATGTGTGTATATTGGTTATGAGACAAAATAGATATGTATGTAACGTAAGTTCCACTTCTCCAGTGTGGCCCAGGCGCACTTACTTTTTTTTCTACATAATCTTGTTATGTGGCGGGAGTGTTCCGCAAAATTTTCAATAAATTTTCTGTAGTGATTACAGAAAGCTACGAATCTTTTGCTTCTTGAATAATTTTGTTTTTGCTATCTTCTGGAAGAATGCCGTTATCTGTGCATGGTTGAGATTTAAATTGTGCTTTCTACACAAAACAAATACATCGGTTAGATTTTGGATTATGTGCTTTTCAGAGCATCCTAAAACGACTAAATCGTCCATATAGATAAAGGCTTGTGCTGGTGATATGCCAGCAAATGCAAAGGTCATCATTCTTTGGAAAGAATTTGGTGCTATTTTTAAGCCATAAGGGAGTCGTTGAAGCGATATGAGCCACTATTTGTGGAAAATGAATTTGTGGTGAATGGAATTTTTCTCTAATTCTATTTGATGAAAACCTGATATGAGATCTAAGCATGAAAAATATTTTGCTCTTCCAAGTTGGTCAAGAATATCATCAATTCTTGGTAAAGGGTATTTATCTGCAACTAGTTTTTTGTTAATTTGGCGGTAGTCAATGACTAACCTCCATCGTTTTTCACTTGCATTTGGCACTGACTTTTTTTGGAACTAAAAGTAAAGGACTGTTGTACACTAGTGTAGCAGGTTCGACTATATTATCTTCTACCAATTTTTTCACTTGCTTTTCTACCTCTAATTTGTGGGCGTGCGGGGTTCTATAATTTTTTATATACACAGGAGTAGGATCTGTAAGTTGTATTTGCTGCTTATAAAAATTAATTGCTGTTATTGGCTCTGAATCGATGCCAAATATGTCGCTATATTCTGAACATAATTAAGTTAATACCTTTTTATGATCTTTGGGAAAATTCTTTGAGAGTTTCTCTAATACCACTGTTTTCTACTACTTGAGTTACTTTGGTCTATTTCATGGATATCGTAGTCGGACAGTTTTTCATAGAAAATGTTTTGATTGTTTATTGTGATATTTTCATTTATGTTTAGTATTCGGACTAACGGGCGTTGTGAATTTGTAATTGTGTTGCTGATTATTGCTCCTGGAGTAATTTCTTGGTTTGGTATAAATATTTCAGGTTCATTTGTTTTTATGTTTAATTTTCTAATTACTTCTGACCTGGCTGGAATTATTATTGAATTTTCTTTGTGATTCGGGTAAACTCGTATAGGTATTTGTTTGTGATTGCCCGGACGTATTATGAGATAGTCATTTCCTTTAAGGAAATTTAAAAGACAATTGAATGTACAATATACCATCGTATGGTATAGGGAAATCTTCATTTATGATTTGAAATGTATGTGGTATAAGTATATTTTCTACTTGAAATTCTAAAAATGTCGTTCCTATTGATGATATTGTTCCTTGGCCTATTCCGCTTATTTCTGAATTGTTTTTTGTATTTAACTGGTGTTGCGTTACGTAATCATTATATTTTAATAATGATATTTCTGCACCACTGCGTGGTTCATCGGCAATTTTATTCGGCACCCGAATGTGAATATTAGTAAAACGAATTTTAAGAAAATACGTTTTAAACAATGAACTGTATTATTTAAATGTAAAAAAGCTCTTTAATAAATACTGAAATACAGTATTCTCGGTTTATACAGAATCTTATGAGGTTCAGTCATGGCCCAAACGGCGGTAGATATATAGGTGGTCCTATGGCATGCAACGATGGACCACAGGTGTTCAGAACCAATGACATCGTAATATTTATGTAACTATTTTTCCTACATGCATTTGGACTATTTTGCTTACTAGTGTTAATAACAAGGAAGCGTGGTGCTATACTAGTATTTCATCTAGTACCACTTTTTACAGGGTATGTATATACATACATATAGATATACTAGGTTTTTGTTTAATAAACTTAAAAAATAACAATTTATTTCAGAAACTAAACATCTCATTTATAAAAACTCATGACCTTTATAATCCTTATGCAGGCCATTAACGAGATAATATGTCGTACTACGCCGTCGTACTACAGATTGCATGCTTCGCCATGAAGGTTCAGACATCGTCGTTCGATTTATCATCAAACATCATTTTTGCCTACGCTTTCAACAGTAAACAACACATGCGGTGGATATGAATGTCTCTTATGCTGACGATCGCTCGATTATGGGGTCTGGGAAGGGAATTGATGAATTGTGCTCCAAAGTAAACGGTTATCTCTCCGAGCTTTCTCACTTCTTCTCTGCAAGGAGCCTAACCCTCTCCCCCACAAAATCCCCAGCAACCCATTTCAGCACCTGGACGAAGGTGGTCAGACTGCAGCGGGTATTCATGTCGATGACGAACAAATCCCGACGGTGAATGATCCGAAAATCCTCGGAGAAACCTTCGACAGTCTGCTCTCCTTTTCGGCGCATACAATTGAAATTGTCAATAAAGTACAAAGCCACAACAAGGTAATCAAGTCCCTTCCCCGCAGCTCCTGGAGAAATGGCAAAGGCACGTTGTTGACAAAGTGCAAAGCAATTGGTCTGCCAGTTCCGAAATATGCAGCGCCTGTATGGTCGCCGGGGACTAGTAGGACGCAGTGGATGAAGCTACAGACTTGCGAAAACACTGCACTCCGGACAGCGACCGGATGAGTTCTGATGTCGCTGGATCGTCAGCTGCACGACGAGGCTCCCTACTAAGGGAGCATAACCCTCACAACGGCACGTCAGAAGGCATATATATGAACTGACGGACGGACTTCGTCAGAGGTTCATAAAGCAACCTCTTGACCCGAAAGCATACCGACAGGCCTTAAATGGCATAGGGAGTCAGTCTCGAGTTATATAGAATCTCGAGATGTAAATGTCGTTTTGGGCAAACAACCACCAGGCGTGGACGAGACAGAGCTTCGTCTGCCTCGAGAGACTCGGACCACAATAGCCCAACTTCGCTCTGGCTACTGCAGCACGTTAACCTCTTACCTGAGCAGAATAAACTCAGATATGCCAAACGAGTGCACGGATTGCGGAGAGACACCCCATGACTCGATACATCTCTTCGCAAGCCCACTGAACCCCACTCAACTAACGCCCCTGTCCTTATGGACAGACCCTATCAAAGCTGCACGTTGTTGGGTCTCCCGTTAGTTGAGCTTGACGACAACGAAGGAGTGACTAATCGATATGGGAGAGGTTGTTGTAGCCGCTACAACAACAACAACATGGATATGAATGTGTTAGCTCTACTTGTTGTAAGCGAAATAATTGAAGCGGATGAAGAACTAATTTTTTGAACTCATTTTCAGTTGATGTTTCTACTCCAACGAAAGAGCAATAATGAAGCCTATCAAACACAACCACTAACACTCAAAACTGTTGTATAACCCGACGAAGTGGCGATTCCTTTTTATTTTCATCAAACCGTCTATCAAATGTGGTTGTACAACAAGGCATCTAATGTGCCAAGCTGTTGTACAACGAGCTTAAATTAGACTTAGTGCAGGAAAAAGCTTTCTTATATACAACTTTGTTGTGTACAATAAGTAATGTATGTTCAAAGGTATTTAAAACTCCTAATGTCAGATGGTCTAACGATTTATATTTATACACATCGCAATAGTCATAGTAAAAGACTGTAAGTTTCCGGTAAACTATTTTCTCTTCACTAGTTTGATGTCAAATACACCCGCTAGCATTTCTTCAAATGGTTTTTAATTATTTTGTATCCATCTAAATATTTCAGTATTTATTTTCTTTCCGTCTTAAAAAACCAAAAATCTCATTTAAGGGCTTTTGTAAATATAAAGACAAAATACCTATATGTGTACATTCTTTTTATTTTTAACAGAATATGCTTTGGGGATCCCACAATTACCGACAGCATCAAAAATGCTGGCAACACAAACTTTCACTTACGTGGCGGGTGGTAATAGGGTGCTTTCTGCTAACACATTCGGGTAGTTGTATTCAAATGAAGGATGCAGTGAATTATCCGCTTGCGGCACCGGATGTGCGCCTAAAATACATGATCCCTCGCCTAATGGATGCAAAAACGCACGGCGCATTAAATTGGAAATTTTTTAGTAATGATGAGGCTCCATTGGGAAATGCCATCAATGAACTACAGAATAAGACGGTAATCCAGAGCCTTGCGTTGATATTAAGGGAATCGGTAACGCTACTTGGAATGCAAAATATGACAACCCATACGAGCATCAACACGCAGTTACAAATGATTTCTATGCTGGCGAAAGCCATGTCATCTTCCACGTCTGAGTTGCAAGAAACCATGCGATATAGCAGTCTTAAGTATTTGAGTCGCGAAAATCTCCTCAATCGACACAACAACATCATGCTAGACTCAGACCCAAAAACGACACAGGCCCAGGCCATCGGTGTACACAGTTTAGCAATTTCAACGCTACAGGAGAACTATGAAAGCTGTCAGTCATGTCAAATGCGTGAAAAGGCGAAGCTCAGGAGCTTAGAATCAATAAAAAATCAAATTCTAATGCGTTTAGAGCTGGTCCGCTTGCCCAATATTACCAAGCCGATTGCCGTCCCACATAGTATTATTGAGAAATTTTACAAAAACTTCAATAGCACGCTGGCCGGAAACAGAAGAAACGCCACCTTTTTCGATGTGGTCGCTGGCTCAGATGTTAAGCCAAAAGTAGTAGATAAGTTTTCCCTGATGTATACAAACACGCCCAGACATACAGAAAAAGATGTGCCCTTTCTGATGCACTATTCTAAACATGCTCGTCATTTTCAGCATGGCCAGCAAGAGCACTATCAGTATCCATATAATAAACCCAAATATCAAACATTCCGCATTCCACCCAATCGACACTCGCACCACCACCGCGGAATAATTCCTAAGGATAACAACAGGGATGCACTGTTGGAGTTAAGTGATATTGAATATGACCAACACGATGATGTGCAGAACGATGAACGTCAGCAAAATAGCAACTACCAACAAACTTTTAGTAGAATTAGGCAGAAGAAACGAGTTAAAGGCGAAAAAGGACAGCTATTCAATATGAAAGAAAGTGGCGTCGTATCTGCTGTGTCCAAGGATGACAGCTACATCACACATTACGAATACACAAAGGAAATAGATGAGGAACCTTACTCGCATGTGAACAGTATTTACATATTTCCAACTAGTAAGTAAAAATTTTCCTTATCCTAAAAATTATAGCAGGTTGATAGTATAGTGCTATGCTGATAAAAGCTACCGCTGTGTAGATACTCGTAGATATTTACATACATGTGTTTTTAAACAATGGCTAAACACGCTCTTGAAAATAAAACTTTGTACTAGAGTTCACTCTTTGATGCAAAAGGCAAAAATTTGTTTTGCACAAAAGCGTGAACTGTCTTGTTGCTTTGGATACGAAATTTCAAACAGTTCAGCCACAGCGGCGTCTCAAATATTCGTTGCGCTTCCTAAATTGAACTTTATTATAAAAATATAATTAAAACGAAAAGATAGGATATGTTCTTAAAGCTTCCGATTTAACGAAATTACCAGACTGTTCAGTGGAGGCAGAGTCACGTTGGCAGAGTCACGACGTACAGTAGTCAAATTGAGTTTTCAGCAGCTTCGACGTCGACATTAGCACAATAACGACGTACAATTCCATCAACAGATTCAATAAGCAGAGCGGCAACGGAAGCAGTCTCATTCGGCTCACCAGCAGCAGCAGTCATTTGAGAAGAAGAAGGAGAATTAAAAGGAACGGCAGTGGGCGCAACAACAGGATTAGGCTCTCCGGTCACAGTGACTGATGGGATAACTGGAGATTTGCGAATTGAACCAGCTGACTGAACTTTGTTGTTAGAATTATTACAAACACATTTTTTAGAACGTAGAGTGTAGGCATTGTTTTTAGATTTTGCATTAGGCGCATTTTTACTGACGCGTGAGCATCTAAATTAGATAAACACGGAGCGAGCAAAACCACGACCTTTCGCATTGACTGCACTTCAACTATTTAATAGAATAAACTTTTTCCCAAAACATATCAATTCCAGAGCGCTGGAAATATCAAGCTCACTTTGCCTCAGTAAATTCCATTGCGTGGTTATTATATCAGGATCCCAATCTATGAGATGGGGAAATTTAAAAAAAGAGGTAAAATTAGTAAATCTTCTTTAGAAACTACCTTAGCTGCTGTCATTATTTGTAAAAGTTTTATATCTTCACCTTTGAAATCAAATCTTAAATTTATTTATGGAAAACTTTATTATGTTGGTTTTAACTTCAAGGATTCCAGAACAGTTGACTTTTCATAAACATCTGAGCTTTCGTTCCAACAAAAATTTCAGATATTTTAACATGATTATTTTTGTTTTTGAAATCAACAATAATATGTTACTGATCGCATCTTTTTAAATAAAGCTACTCAAAATTAAGGGATAATGTGCTTTGATAGCTGCATATAAGGATGGCAAACGAGAGCTTTCAGCTTGAAACTCTTTGTTAAGATTGTTAACTAAGGGGAAATGTATGATAGAAATTAAAATAGCATTTGGTTTTGCAACACATTCCTTCTGCCAGGTCTGCAGATCGCACTTCGTAAAAGCAGGAAATAAAATAAAGTTTCAAACTATCCCATTGCTCACCTATTCTTAAAACAACGCTTCCTAGTGAAAGCCATCGTGTTTGAGATATGCCCAAGATTTTGTGGGGTTTTACCGAACAGTAGTCCTGAAATTCCTTCAGTTCATGTATCCTCTTTGGACTGCGGGAAAAGAAACTATTGGGGTATTCACCGTTCGTACCAAATTGAGACAACATTTTGAGACATTTTTAGCATCAAACTGAGAGCACTCCTTTCCAGCAGTTGTCGCAAAATCGTCGCAAAACTTTACTGGTGTTGCCAGACAATTCTTCTTTGTTTGTGTTTAACTATTACCAATTGCCAATATTTGTTCTTTATTTTCCTTGATTTGTTTGTTTTCAGCAGCCATTGCGCTCAAATCAAATGCAAATAAGGAAAACGTCCCCCCCAATAAATTAAAAAACTTTGATAGGTATTGCCATAATGCAACTCTGCTACGAGGTTGCAAAATGTAGACGCGTAAAAAACATACCTTTGAGTGTGACAAAATGTAGACGGCGCACTATGCTTCCCTTCCATACAAAATGTGGGCAAAAATAGAATTATGGACTAAATTCAAAAATGCCATTGGTTTTTGGATAATTTTCATACTTTCACTGTAAATGCAGTTTGAAGTTGAAAATGTCGGTTCTTGTGGCTTTTACATAGGTACGTACATATAGATAGTTCGTTCTATTTTCAAAACGTAGTGTCAAATGGTAGTGCTTGGCCTGTAGATGTGCAATAAAGTTTTGTACTTTTTAAAAGGGTTGCCACCTGTTACAAATTTTATTAAAATTATTTAATAAGTTAAATGGATTAGATATTACAATATGGGTATCAATTGAACAAGTTTTCAAAATACTTTACTTCTAAATGACACGTAGAAGGCTTTCCATATGTTTAAAAAATCAAATTCACTTTAATTAAGGGAATAAGGTAACTGAAATATGTATGTCAATATGAGTATCAGACAAATGAAAACATTTGACATATTTAGCAAGAAATAAGTGGAAAGTAAAAGCATTCCTCCTATGGTTTGACGTAATTATTACTTTAGTTCAACTAAATTCGACTTTACAAACAGGTGGCAGCCCTATTCGTAATATTTTTAAGCTAAAACCTTATTAATCCACTTTCGTCTGACTCCCTTATGGTGATACCTATCCATTTCAATTACACAATTCCTTTAATTCAAGTGGAATTTAATTTTTTAAACAGGTGGCAACTCTCTACATGTAGCTAATACACATTTCGATTGATACCCATCTCTTAATAATTCATTTAACTTATAAAAAAAGTTTATCTAATTTTTCAACAATCGAATTTTTTAACAGGTGGCAACAAAAAATATAAACCTTCTATTGTCCACAGGTCAAGATTTTTAATCTGACACTTCATTTTTGAAAATGGTACAAATCGTGCAGATCTCAAGGCACTGACAAAAAGTGCAAAAAAATGAGCAGGTTTTTATTTCTTCTTTTGAAAGCTAAAAGCCCGTACTATTTAATAAAGTAATAAAAATAACCTAGTTTTACATATATTTTTTTATTCATTCCATTAAAATTTAGCATTTTTTGAAATTTTGTTTAAAAAAATTGTCTTTCTGGAACACCGCAGGGACACCCTGTGTTTAATTTTATTACAAACTTTTAATTCTTGCAATTCTCTACTATCTATATGGAAACAAGAAACGTCAAACCAACATTTTATTTCAAAGAATATATTTTTGATATTTTTTTCTGTGAAGAGCTTATTAAAATGTTTAGTATAAAATTTGTCGACTTTAGTGCTTTCCTGGCGGCATACAATAAATTTTTTAGGGAAATTTCTGTTTAATTCTTTTTAGTGGATAAATTGTCTTTACAAAAATACGAAACAAGTTCACATTGCAGATAACGAATTTTTTGATTCTCTCCCACTTAGGCGGCACTGTGCGGCGTCGTTTTTCATTTTTGTACATCAACATTTTGAGACACTATTAGGAACGAACTGTGTACAACCCATATATATGTTGCGGCACAGTGTCTCAATGTTTTTCGGCAATTTTTTACAAGCGTAGCTGGAACAAAGGTGAATTGAGTGGCAGGTGCACTTTATATAATGTTTCAGCCCGCCCAAGTCTACAGCCATAACATTTGCTCCTTCAGTGGCCAACCCAATTAGGTTTCTTATTTTTAAAGGCAAATGACTGGCAAATGTTTAAAAGGTACAATTGGAAAATATTTATATGCAAAGTGATGTTTGAAATATGTATATATATGTATTGCAATTTGCCGACCAACCTACCAAATGAAAAAGAAGCGACCAAATTTGGTGGGAAAAGACTAATAGTGGCAACACTGCTTAGAATACAAATTATTCTTACAGACTACTCAGCTAACACTAATTAAGTGCTACTAAAACTTGAAAATTAAGAATGTTAAATGCATTAAGTAAAGAGCTAAGAGTACATAAATCACTAGTGGTGTGGCACAGAGAAAAATGTTCGCAGATTTGTGGCTAAGGCAGGGCTTGATTGTGTGAAATCAATGTCTAAAGTAGGGATGCACAGCATAGGTGCACGCAGTTGACGTCGCGGGCAAACTGCGAGCACGCGAGCGTGCTAGGCGAGGTGAAGTGAGCTGTACGGAGATGGCAACGTATACATATTAACCACTACACACTTCTTTTCAAGTAAAAATGCGTGTATGTATGTGTACTTTTGCGACAACTGAGCCAGTGTGGCATCAGGGCACCAGAAAAAGCCAATTTTCCAAAACAAAAGGGCCAAGTTTTTATTATCATGTTTAATAATTTTTTTGATTCAGTAAAAAGTGTATATACACATCCATTTCCTCATGTTTTTATCAATAAATTAATTTAAATACATTTACAACAACGCAAAACATATTTAATTTACCTATTCCTCACATTTTATTCTGTAAATGAATTCCATCTTAATGTAGAATATAAGTGTTTGGTATGTACATACATATATACACTTGTATGTACCTATGCATTCGGTGTGCTTAAATTAAAGCATCACTAAATAACGCACCAAGCATTGAATTCCAATTATTTTGGCTTTCTGGTTTCCCAAAAGCACTAAATTTAGTGCAAAATGCACGACCTTGGCAACAGTGAGCTGAGCACATCCATGCTCAAACAGTGATGCCAGAAAAAGTATTGAGTAAATGCACTATGTATATTTTTCTTTTAAACCAAAAGTTCTAATTGGCGAGGGGATTAATTTTTGGTTCTTACATAGAACACTGATAAGATTCATAAACTTATCTTAGGACTTAATTAATATAATCAACATTATTTGTAGACGAATATATTTGTGTTCCTATTAAATAGTAGCTTATGTCGGGAGGCTGGCTTTAGTAAAATGTACCATTCCCTATATTCTTTAAACCACAAGGAATTTTTTTATGAGACTTCATACGAATATTGAATTGCTAGCATCGCAACTCCCTCTTTTACGTTTACTTTCCAAAAGTTCTTCAACGACTCGGCGCCAGTGAGTCTTTCGCAATCGTATGCTGCGAATGGTTCATTATACTAAAGCCAGTCTT